CCTAACAAGCTAGAAGTTTTCCCTGTTTAGTTTTCAATGGCACCTTGGTAGAATTAGAGGAAAACTCTGCACCATAAACACATCCTGATAAGGAGCATACTGACAAAAAAAGAGAGATAATCTCATATGTCTGCTGTTCCTTCTTCTTTAGTCCCAGGCTGAACAAAGAGAGGTGGCCAAGTTGCTTTCCCTACTGCACAGGAAGAATGCAGGTCACCCCTAGGGCACATAGAAAACGATTGTTTTCCATGTGCCCTGTTCACACCATAATGTGGGTGTAATGGGCTGTATACTGCGAAAAATTGTAGACATTGGCGCTGGATGGCAGCGCACAGTATTGCTGCGCGGGGACCTGAATGAAATGTACACATTGTACACTACCGATAAGGATAAAAAAAGAAGACATTTAAACAGTGACAGCAATACACCGCACACGCGCTACAATTAGGCATTTTGGTAGGTGGGCTGGTGTGATCGGGGTCCCTGTAAACTGTGAGCCAGTTCAGGCATCAGAGATTTGTGCTTTTATTATACTTTGTAGCTTGAACAGTTTTACAAGTGGAAATGTCAGATATTGTTTAGAAAGATAGCAGTGTCTCTGCTACAAAAGACGTATCTCAGTCACAGGCTCTTTTGAAGGCCATCCTCCATGTCATCTGTTAAATCTGGTCCAATTTACACAGATCATTGTGTGCTCAGGAAACCGGTTCTGTTTGAGTTCTTTTCTGGTTGGGGGGGTGGATGGATGGACTCGGTGTTCTCAGTTTTAGGAGGCCAGACAGAATGTGCTTGTTTATGATTGCAAAGGCAAAGCAGAGACATTTTGGAATGACTTAGAGAATGTGCCCATTTACAAGGGGATGTGTTACCAGAGACAGTTCAGGGAGAGGTGACAAGTGTCTCCCTATCAAGATCAGGAGAAAGAAGAGCACAGAACAGTGGACAAGGCCAAGGCTGTTTTTAGAGAAGGATATGCTGCGGAGGAAGTAAAAAAACAAGAATGCGGGGTTGCAACTGCAGACATGTGCTTTTGATTCAAACAAATGTTTTAATATTAACGAAAGGATAGTTGAAAGTATGGAATTGGCTTAGCACAGGGCTGGACAAATCCCAGGAACCAAGTAGTCAATTTCTTTAGTAGTTACAGTTGGTGCCTAAATTTGGAGGGTTTTCTCTAATTGTTGTCAATGAAGCTGGGCCTACAAAAATCCCTACTGGCTCCTGGATTGGGGAAACTGGCTCATGAACTCCAAATTAATTTGTCCACCCCTGGCTCAGCATACATACAGTTGTGAAGTGTACTAGAGTAAAGTTACAGTCAGCAGGATATGGAATGGGTTTAGGTTTGTGTGATTGAGCGCTGTTACATTTTATAGCTTGGTTATATTATTATTATACAGGTTTTTCATCACTTATAAAGGCAGACAGTACCGTTACAATCCAATCCAAGACATGATGGTTAAGGCCCGGTTCCCACCTGGGCGTTTTTCCGCGAGTTCGTACTCGCGGAAAAACGCTCAAACAGGGAAATGCCATTATTTTCAATGTGCATGGTTCCCATCTGGGCGTTTTTCCGTGAGTACGAACGCGCGGGAAACCACCCTAGGCCCAAAGAAGTACATGTACTTCTTTGGGGCATTTTGGTCGAGCGTTTCCATTGGGATACAGCCAAGTAGCGTTTTTTTTACCGCGAATCGACAAATGCGCATATTCAATACGCCTAGGTGTGAACCCAGCCTAAGAGGACCCTGCTCCAGAGAGCTTACAATCTAAAAGGGTTAGCAACAGTAAACATCCACCTCACCTATCCACCTCATATAGTAAGACAAAGAACTGTGATATAGTAGCCTATCCTTTTTTTTTGCCAAATTCTTTTCAGGTCATAAATACCTTTTTGTATGATCATGCTGCTGCTGTTGTACAACTCTGTCTTTACTCCTCAGCAGTTATCTTTCATCTGTAAATCTTCTGGTATTGTTTCTGAATGTTTGGCATAGCCAGGTGCAACTTGTTAGGTTAGTGACATGACCATTTAAAGAATTTCTCTAGTGCTTTAAATAAACTGGAGGTGTTACAAAAATGTATCAGAGGATTAGGCGAGCAGAGAGCATGTTACAGACTTCCCTGAGATTACCCTCGGCCTCGCCTCTGTCTATCCGGATAGAGTAAACATTGTAGCTGTTCATGACATTGAGGACATGTGTAATTTGTGATGCAATCACTTCCAACTCCTCAAAATACCTTTCTTCCACTTGGACAGCTTCAGAGTTTAACTAGCATTACCAGAGGCGCAACTAGAAACCTCAGGGCACCGGTGCAAGAAACCATGGAGGGCCCCCCCAGAGACAATGTCGGCACCTCGGTGGTTACTGGAGCGGGCCCTCTTCTTCCTTTCTGGGCCCCCCACAAGTGGCAGAACACCAGGGCCCAGTCGCACATGCGACCCTGGTAGTTCCGCCAGTGATATGTATGAGGGCTTGTTCACACCATTTGCGGTGTGTTCCAAAGCGGTAGCTGCTGGAATGCACAGCAATCGCTCATTAAACTTCCCCCTTCGTTTGTGGGTGGGAAGGGGATTGGCGGTGCATTGAAGTCAATGGCACCGCAGCCACGACCCCCCCGCCCGCAGTGCGATTGGACTCCTGGCAAAACATTGCCTGTGTTCCGGTCCACTGCAAAACGCAAAAAAAATAGAGCATGCAGCATTTGTTGGCGTTCGCAGTGGACCGGAACACAGGCAAATATTTTGCCAAGTGTCCGATCGCACTGCGGGCGAACATCCCCGAAGCCCTAAAAAACATATACAAGACATATGGAATACAATAAGGTGACCCAGTTGCCACCAGGAAATAAGCCCACAGTATCGTTTTGTATGCAATAACTGTAAGATGGCGATAACAAATACCTGCTCTCCATCAGTGCAGCCACCAACCTGAGGATGTCTTATTCTTTTGATGTCTACGAGAGGACCTTAGAATCCTCCTCCGCTCCATGCCGCTCTCCCCATTCAACGTTCCCGACATGTAGGCAAGTGGGTACTTCTATTGCCTGCAGCATTGGGGAACGCCCACAACCTCTTAAAACCCCGCCCAGTACATCGTGCAGATCTCACACCTACCACATCACTGGCACGCCACGCCCACACCCTTCTCCCGCCTCACTCTGAGCCGGGTAATGGGGAAATGTCACTGGCTGCTCAGAATGTCAGTCAAGCGGACCTGTCTCCTTTTTCTGTAATGTCGGCACTGGGCCCTCTTCTGCCTTTCCGGGTCCCCCCAAAGTGGCGGAGCGCCAGTGCCCGGTCGCATATGCGACCGTTGCGACCCTGGTGGTTCCGCCAGTGAGCATTACAGCTAATCATTCTCTTTAGTAACAAAAATGTGAATTTGTGGACATGTACCTGCCATTAGAAAACACACTTTATTCCTTCTCTTCCTCAAAATTAGCAGATAATACAATGTTCCCTTGGTGCTCAGCTCTTGGAGACACAAAGGATGCATCATTTCTCTATCCACACTTAATAGTATGAATGAAGGAATCTACCCTGATGGCTGTTGTATTCAGCTGGCTGTTGTATTCAGCAGCCGACTGAACTCGCGGTTGCTGTATACACGAACAGTGATTGCATCTAACTGCTCAGTATAGCCAACAATTTCCCACCCGGTTCCTTTGACAAAAGCCAATAAAAAAAATATTTTTTATCAAGTTAGTTGGGTGGTGCCAACAGGGCCACCCACAGTTCAGAATTCAAATAGTTTATGGCTAGCTTTAGGCCCCTTTCCCATGGATCGAGCAGTATAGGACAGATGTTGCTTGTGACATCCACGTCCATTCCGTTTTTTCCTCTATCTTGCGATGAAGAAAAAAATTAAGCTGTGGGAAACCCATGTTAGGTCTAGGGAGTCGGATGTAACCAGTTCATTTACATATAATTACCTCTGATCCGTTACGATCATGTCCATCTAAATGGACATGTTCCATTTTTTTCCCCGGACCTAGACCAAGTCGTGGGTAATCAGATACAAACGGACGCATATCCGTTTAAATTCGGCTGCCCATAGAGTTACATTGGGCTCCCAATCAGATCCGCCTGAAAAACAGATAGGCAGACCTGACCAGACCGCCCATGCAAAAGAGGCCTAAGGTTGCTTAAAGACTTGCAGATCTCTCAGAGAGTGGGAATGATCCATTATCACCAAAGGTTGAGTGCTACTTAGGTGCATAGTAGCATTTATCTTTGACTTGGTGAATGTTTGGTTGCAGCGCAGTCATAATAAACAATCTTTTTTTTCCATGGAGGAACAGGAGCAAAAAGAAATATGATTTATCAAATGCAGATTTTCCAACATGATGGAAAGATTCCAATTGCAAATGATATGAAGCATTTCTGATGCTTATAAATGCTCTTTATTGAAATAAACCCATATACTGCTCAATGGTTGCACATGTTTTGTGATTTCAAGTTATGGATGTGTCATATAAATGGCGGTGCTAATGATAGTAACACGAATACCACCCACAAAGGGAGTTGCATAAGATAAGGGTTTCTTTTGAAAACTTGTATTGCTTTCCTTCAGATTCCTTATGGTTTTTATTCCTGAAATATTTGATAATGTGTCCCATCCATGGATTGTTTAAATTTTGTGTTGGAAATAGAAACTGTTTATAAATCCTTCATAATAGTCTCGCTGCTTTGAAAGGAAATTTCAGTGGCGTATGACATAATAACTTGTGGGATCGTGCTGTGCAGCTGACGAGGGAACAATGCCCCCACAATAAACTACTGTCATACAGACTGTACTGTATAATCACTCTCCTGTCAAATAAAAGCTGATACCATCTTTTAATTTCCTTTAAGGCACAAACCTTGTGCTATGTGTAGATGAAACTCTGATAATGTTATAGTATAGCTATGTGCAGCCATTGTCAATTGTTAATATAAAAAATGTGCCTGTCCACAGCGAACTCTAACAGTCATGCATTGTTTTGTTTTTTTGTAGCTTCCTAACATGTTTGGTGACCTGCGCTCAACTTTTATTGCACTGATGATAGGGTCCTATGCTTCCTCCGCTGTCACCTTCCCCTTTATCAAGGTAGGTACATTTTCTTCCATTAGAAGATTATATGTTCTTCAAAATATTTGCCGGGTCATGTCACTGAAGTGTAACAATAGGTAAGGCATCAGGTTAAACCACAATTAAACTTTCAGTATAAATTGGCTGAATACATTACAAGTGCATCGAAGCAAAATGTGTGCAAAGTCGTTTTTAGAAATCAGCCATTGCTTAAGCAGAATAGCCTGTCCCCTACCAGCATACTGCAGAGAAGGCCCCATGCTTTTTGTGTGTAAGCAGTAGGGATGCACCTATACCGATACTAGTATCGGTGCCGATGCCGAGTATTTGCCCAAATGCTCCGATGCCTAGCCCGATACTTCCGGTATCAGGAAGCCGGGCAGCGCGCCATTATACGCTGCCCGGCTTCCTGATTGGGCGGGAAGCCGGCTCTATGCTCTCTCGTCACTTGTGACGAGAGAGCATGGAGCCGGCTTCCCGCCCAATCAGGAAGCCAGGCAGCGTGTAATGACACGCTATCCAGCTTCCTGATTGGTCAAAAGCTGGTCAATCAGGAAGCCAGGCGCCGAGTAATGACGCGGCTCCCGACTTTCTGATTGGTTGGGAAGCCGTCTTCATGCTCCCTCGTCATCTCATGATGAGGGAGCATGGAGCTGGCTTTCCTGGCCAATCAGAAAGCCGGGCGCCGCGTCATTACACAGCGTCCTGATTGGCCAGAAAGCTGGCTCCATGCTTTCTCGTCTCCTAGTGACGATTAGCATGGGGACAGCTTCCCCGTTAATCGGGAAGCTGGTTGGCGAGGTTTTACATGCTTCCTGGCTAATCAGGAAGCCAGGTGGCGAGTCATTACACGCCGCCTGGCTTCCTGAATGGGACTTCCGGTATTCGGTATCGGCAAGTGCCGGAAAAAAAAATATCGTTACTCGATACCGAAATACCGGTATCGGTGCATCCCTAGTAAGCAGGGATCTCTCTGCAGAGGTCCCACACACATCCTGATGAGCAAGACCTATAGCTCTGCAATCAGCAGACTTCATGCTTGCTGCTGATTGGAGAGCTCTAGCACCGGCTCAGCAGGGTACATGTCAGACCTCTGCTACTACTGCTTACACACAGAGAGCAAGGGTCCTTTTCTTCATGCTGGCAGGGAACAGGCTTTACTACCCAGACTGTGGCTTTCTAAGGAAAACGAACTGTAAAACTTTTCACACCTTTTGTTATGATGCACCTGGAATGTATTTAGCTGACATATACTTAAATCTCAGCGGGGCTTTAAATGCAAGTTGTAAATGGACAAACATATTACTGCTGCAGTGTAAAAGTAGACCTAAACCCAAAATGTTTTCTTTTATCAATTTGGATAGAGTAGGTAAGAGTTTAAACAGGTATTTTCTTTGCCATCTGTGTTCCATTGAAGTGATTTGCTTTTACTTCCTGTCCTGTAGACGCAAAAGGAAATGAGTGGAAACCTTTGAGGACCAATCTCCTCTTAGACACCTGTCATTAAAACAAGTGTCCACATTGCATGATTTTCCCATCAGGGGTACTAATCCTTTAACACTCCAAAGCCAAAAAAGTTTTCTACTGTCATGTTTTGTTCCTTTGTGTTGCTGCAACACAATCAGCCATGTTACCAAGGCCTTAGAGGTTACCAGTGCGCTTTTCTGTAACACTTCAGTTCCTTTTCATTTTTGTGTTGGAAAACACAAGTCACATTGTGTTTACTATGAAGCTCTGTCTCTCTAACTACCGCATCTGAGGTCAAACTGTGAAAGATATTCGAGTGCTTGCTTGCTTTCCATTGTACACAACAGCTTGCATGGCAGTCATTTATATATTTAGAAGGGTCATTAATGTAGATGGATCAATAGAAATCCCATTCCAGTGTTGATCTATGTTGTAAAATATGTACACTCAATCGCGGTGTAATTTCAGTGTACAGCAAATCTCTTGCTCAGCCTTAGCGAAAACAGGAAGCCAGTGAGGCCCTTCAGCGAAGTGGCTTTTAACACTATAAGCCGCAATACAATAAAATGTGTTTCCCGGCTGTCTAGGGTGGGTCACTGTAACCTTGCCCTGAAAAGCAAATGGCAAGAATATAATTTTTTATTTTGGGTACTGCGGTTAGCACTGATCCCTTGCAGCTCTCAAGGGTTCCTGGGTTTAGATCCCATGTGGACCATATCTGCATAGTAGTTATTTTTTTCCCCATGTTTGTCTGGGTTTTCTTCCAGAGCTTTGCTTTCTTCTTACTGTTTTAAAAACATGGTGGGATAGTTGTCTTCTGGCCAAGACTTTGGCTTGTAAGCTGAATTGTGGCAGGTACTGGTATAAAATTTTCAACCTACTGTGTGAAGCAGAAATGAATAAGGGGAGGATCTATTGGGATCAAATCTCTTAAATGACATTGATAAGGATTGCAATACGTACAAAAAGGCTGTCCCATTTGCAATGTCTATACTGGCATGGCCAGCCCCATCAGACTCCTCACTAATTACAAGTACATCCTTCCTCATGAAGTGACAGGCCGGTGCATAGCTTTCACCAGTTGTGCTATCCTCTAGTTTACTGCAGGAGCATGAAGGTTGTAGCTTGGCTCCTTGGACATCCACCAGGACCTAGGCTGCTGCCTAGTGTGCCCTGCGGATGATCCGACTTTGTGTAATATATCTGTAATTTATTGATAAGCATGTCCTTTATAAACGTAGGTACTTGGGGAAGAAAGCCTCATAAAGTTTGCTGACATAAAGCTAAAGAGGTTTTAGTTTTGGGCTGCTAAGTTTTAAATATGCCAAATATTTAGCAAGTCAAGCGTGGCCTCTGGTGTAGCTGCTCTATTCTTAAGATAATGTTTATTTCTGCTTGATTTGCAGGTTATTTATGATCTAGGAGTGAGTTTTATCACTATTCTTATTGTCTGGGCTGCCTGTTCTGGGCTGGTCTTTTTCAACTGCTTCTTTAACTGGCCTCTCGAGCCTTTTCCTGGACCAGAAGACATGGATTATACGTAAGAGCATTATGTTTATAAGGATTTACTGCTATTGAAGGCTAATCCCACCTTAAACACCTAGTTCCATGTCACACCTATATTTAGGATGAAATATGAAACATGGTGCTGTTTTGCAGCCCCCCCCCCCCACTTAGCTGAATAGCAGGATTCTTCTCCCCACTGGCTTCTGTGTATTGCAGTTGCAATGCTCTTCAGGCTCAAATAAAAAATCATTAATAAATGCATATTTTTTCTTTTTACAATATGGTTGCATTTATTTATTTATTTTTTTTGCAAAAAGGTAAACTTCCTTACCACAGTGGCTTAGTTTTTAGCACTTCCGCCTTGCAGCACTGAGGTCCTTAAATCCTGGCCAGAACACTCTATGCATATACTGTAGTTTACATAATCTCCCTGTGATTGCATAGGTTTCCTCCCGCACTCCAAGGACATGCTGGTAGGTTAATTGGCTCCTGTCTAAATTGGCCCTAGTATGTATATACATGTATGCATGCATATGTGATAGCGACCTTAAATTGCAAGTTCCTTTAGGGTAGGGACTGATGTGCAAGTACAGTATATAAAAGTGCTGCATAAATTGTCATTATTTAAATACAGAAAATATATAAAAAAATACAATGCTTATATGGTCTCTATTTCTTGCAGTGTGAAGATAAAGTTCAGCTGGCTGGGCTTTGACCACAAGATCACAGGAAAGCAGTTTTATAAGCAAGTCACAACTGTGGGGAGACGACTCAGTGTGGGAGGCTCCATGAAAAACCCTAAAGAGATGTCAGCACTGCAGGAGGGCAATAAGTTATGTCTGTCAACTGTGGATCTGGAAGTGAAATGTCAGGCAGACAATGCAGGTACGTCCCCCACTCTGGTAATGTAAAATCTTGGTGAAAAGGAACCAACTATCCAATCCTGGAACAGTCTTTGCATTTACAGAAGAATGCCACTAAGCAACATTTACATCTAATATGACCACTGAACATTACCCCGTTATTAAAGTGGAAGCAGAAAAACAAATGTGAGCAGACAGGCCCTTTATTGTAGGAGAGACATGCTATGTCATCTGCAATAAAACAAACGTATCTGCCTGTTCACAATCTTCTTTAGAATGTACCTCTGTGCCGGTATGATTAAATTCCCTTGTGCAACCCTTGCAGGCCAATAAAGGTGGCCAAAGAGCCGGCACCGAAAAGAAGACAGTAAAAATATGTTATACTCACCCGAAGCTCCGATCCAGCCAGCTGTCACGGCAATCCCTCCAGCCTGTCTCCTCCTCCCTGCAGCATTGGAATCTTCCTCATTGTCCTTATGTCTATACACTGTGTATAGACGTTGATGATTTACAGGACTTTAAACCACTGCAAAGGAGGGGGAGAGCCGTTGGAAGGACCGGTGTAGGAACAAGGCGGCTCAGGGCTTTGGGTGAGTATAACTTTGTTTTGTTTTTTTAACCTAGACACAACTGAGCAGTTACCGCTTGCTCTGCAAGGGTTAATTAAAAAAAAATGTCCTGAAGTTCCTTAATATTTGCATGTTAGCTGCTAGGGATTCACCGATACTTTTATCTGTATTTGGGCGAGTACTCGCACTCGCCCAAATGCTCTGATGCCTAGCCCGATACTTCCGGTATCAGGAAGCCAGGCAGCGTGTAATGACGCGCACTGCCCGGCTTCCTGATTGATCGAAAGCTGGCCAATCAGGAAGCCAGGCGCTGTATAATGACGCGGCACCTGGCTTTCTGATTGGTGGGGTAGCCGGCTTCATGCTCCCTCGTCATCTCATGACGAGGGAGCATGAAGCTGGCTTCCCGTCCAATCAGGAAGCCGGGCGCCACATCATTACACAGCGTTCGGCTTCCTGATTGGCCAAAAAGCCGGCTCCATTCTTTCTCTGCACCTAGTGACGAGAGCATGGGGATGGCTTCCCTGCTAATCGGGAAGCCGGGTGGCGAGTCTTTACACGCTTCCCGGCTAATCAGGAAGCCAGGTGGCGAGTCAATACACGCCGCCTGGCTTCCTGAATGGGACTTCAGGTACTCGGTATTCGGTATCTTCGAGTACCGGGAAAAAAAAAATATTGGTACTCGATACCGGTGTCGGTGCATCCCTATTAGCTGCCCTTTCTCATTGCAAGCAAATTAGGAAAAAGTGCTGAATTATTTATTTATGAGTATCTGAAGAAAACCCTTTTATTTTGTTTTTAGTAATGGCTAGAGTAGTCAGGGTTTAGAACCCCAGTCGTTTTTTTATTGCTGTCTATGTCCCCACTAGGGAGATTTATTCCCTCTATTTTTTTTGGTGATCATTGTCACCAGGACTGAAAATGAGTGAAAATCCAAAATTTTTAGTTGTCCCCTGAACAGGAATTTAGTGGAAATCTTACACTTATTTCCACTGTTGACAAATATTTAATAAAGGATTTCCTTTTCTTTGGAGAGATGTCCTTTCCTGTTGTGTCTACAGAACAGGAAGTAAAGGGGAATCTCCTAAATAGGACACAGATGGCACAAAACTGACAGGGGTTTCAAACATTTAAGCGATAGGAAAAAAGGTCATTTCAACAGCTTGTCATTGTAAAAAGATCTGACTCATCAATTAGACCGGAGTTCTTCTTTTATTCTTTATGCCAAACTTCCTCTGTACTAGTTGGTGCTCACCTCAACCTTCAGCAAAATTACAACCAAGGTCTACAGAGCCGAGTAAATGTCATGGGAATGGGAGCTACCATATGTAGCACAGTATGGATTTTCCAAGAAAATGTCACACTCTCCATTAAACATTTACTGCTTAGTACACAGTAAAAGGAATGGAGAATAGTATGTGTTCTGTCTCAGTGCCAGTGTTATAATCGGTGGATGATCTGAGCTAAGACTGCTGCTGCTAAGATTCAATCAATCATTTCCTGTCCTGAATGTTTATGCCCAGCTCTTGAGAGGTAAATAAATTAGAAAAATAAGACCTAACTTGGCTGATCTGGTGTGTGCAATAAGCAGCATATAACTGGTTGGTTTGGCGCATTTTATTATCTTGGAACCAAAGCTTAAGTTGCATACATTTAATAGTATCTTAACAGCAGAAACGTTAAAGAAGAACTATGGGGTTAGGGCTTTTCCCCATAGTTCTCCTAAGGGTAACGGGAGGACACAAACTAGCGTCCTCCTGTCACCCAAAGCTCAGTATACAGCTCGCGGTATACTGAGACGCCGCAGCTGGAACGAATCCCGACAATTATGTCTGGATCCACCCAGCTGCGTGAGTGACAGTGGGTTCTGCCTATCTAGAGGCAGAGCCAGCTGTACCCGCTCCCTCCCCGTCCATTCCGCCAGTCACCGCTGGAGGATCGGACAGGGGAGGGGGGAATCCAGTCCCTCCCCTGTCACGGCCCTCTGCACAGATAGATCGAGAAGTGAGCGAGCGCCGGTATGTGTTCGCTTACTTCCCGAACTAATGAGCCGACCTGTGACAGTTTCATTGTCACAGGTCGGCTCAGATTATGAGGCTGAGTGAAAATTACTCGCCTCATAATTCTCCTTTAAGGAATATGTACGTGCAAATGTTTTTCAAAATGTAGCAGGAAGTTTGGAGTTTAAAGCTGGTCATACACTATATGAATTTTTGCTATTTCTTGATGAAACGGCTGATATTCACACAGTGGGTTCCGCAGTTGGCACCCTTTTGGCTGGCATCCCTTAATAAGTTAATTGAAGGATCCCGTCGGTAAATCTTCGAACAAACCGAGCCGGCAGCCACTATCAGAATATAATGAAGACAGCGGGAGATTCCTCGATCAACGCTCTTAAGCGTGGATGGAGGAAGAAAATATAACAGAGTATTATATATAGCTTTTGTTCTACACTTAGCTCACACGTTATTAAAGATGCAAGCTTTAGGAACCTCTCGGGTTCCTTCTTCGGGCATTATACACAACTATACTACTTTCTAAAAGTGGAAGTTCACCCTAGAATTACCCAGTAATCATTAAACAGCCATATAACAAATGTACCTTGATAAATGCATAGCACCATCTGTCTTCACTACAGTTGTCCAGCAATTAGTATTGGAAAACTGATGGCTATTTACCAGTGGCACCATGCAACTCTTGGTGTTGCTTAGACTCCGGTCATGCTATCTCAATTTTTTACAGCATGAGGACAAAGAAGTGCGTTCAAGCAGTGTCCAGTCAGTCTTTGCATTCACAGAACATAGATACCATGAGGGGGCTGAGTGACACCAGGAGTTGCATGGTGTCGCTGGTATTACCCGGCGGTTTTCCAATGGTGATGCCTGGACAACCAAAGCATGGACAGAAGTCAAACATGGTGTTATGCATTTATTATGGTACATGTGTAAGATGGTTGTTTGGAGTTCAATAAATCATTTTCGGGTGAACTCCCACTTGAAGCAGCAAGTTGGAACATCTTCCGATGTGTGGGGGTCTATCGTCTTTTAAATGTTTTCTGTGTATCAAGGAAAAAACGTATGTATTTCAACAATATAGGATTATTTCATCTTTAATGCAAAGAACAATACATAGCGTAGTACAATTAACAGCACATCAACCTGTCAGAACTGATGTGTGACTGATGTGTGACTGATCTAAATAAAGGCAACGGTTATTAAGTGTTGCTTACATTAAAGGAGAACTATGAGGTGAGTGCTTTTCACTCACCTCATAGTTCTAGCCGACCTGTAACAATGAGACTGTCACAGGTCGGCTCAGTAGATCGGAAGGTGAGCGAACACATACCGGCGTTCGCTCACCTCTCGATCCTGTCACGGCTCTCTGCCGTGACAGGGGAGGAGCTGGATTCCCCCCTCCCCGCTCCGATCCTCTAGCGCTGACTGGCGGAACGGACGGGGCAGGGGGTGGGTACAGCTGGCTCTGCCTCTAGATAGGCAGAGCCAGCTGTCAATCACGCAACTGGGCGGATCCCGGCATAATTGTCGTGATCCGCTTCAGCTGCGGCGTCTCAGTATACCGCGAGCAGCAACTTGCGGTATACTGAGCTTAGGGTGACGGGAGGACGCTAGTTTGTGTCCTCCCGTTACCTTAAGGAGAACTATGGTGAAAAGCCTCAACCCCATAGTTCTCCTTTTAAGGAAATTGTCATCGCTTTTTGTATTGTTTTATTGGATAAGCATGAAAGCTTTGTTTGTTGATGCATTTTCATACGGTATTTCTTCTATTCTTTCAGCAACTCCATCCTTTATGAAGAGCGTGTTCAGTCCTATTTTGCTACTAAGCCTTATCACTATGTGTATTACCCAGCTCCGACTCATTTTCTACATGGGAGCCATGAACAACATTCTGGAATTTCTGGTAGATGGAGACTTAGAGTCTGGTAAGTGCCTTACATTAACCAACTATAGAGAATTTTGCATGACCAGAGGCATAATAGTGGTGATAATTCACCTGGGAAGTTCACCCAATGCTAATATTTGAGTTCTAGATAGGTGTTGAAGTGAACTGAGCTAAATATCTTCCAGGTGCATCAAAACAAAAGATGCTATGTGTCTTACAGTTTGTTTTCTTTCCAATGCATCCTCAGTAGAAAAACCTGACTTCTTCCAGTAGCTGCAAAGTGTGACCATTGCTGTCTGTGGGGAAGCAGTGGAAGTGGAAGCAGTGGCAATGGCAGTGGCCTCTGCAGAGGTCCATCACACCCCCCTACTGAGTCAGACCAATAGCTTTGTAATCAGCAAGGCTCATACTCCCTGCTAATTGGAGAGCTCTGGCTTTAACTCAACATGGGTTTTGATGGACCTCTGCAAAGAGATCCGTGCATCCCTTAAGAGAGCAGGGTTCGCATTCTGTAGCATGCTCGCACGTGACAGGCTTTTCTACTCAGGCTGTGGCTGTTTTTGAAAACAAACTGTAAGAGTTTGATGCACCTGGAATGTATTCAGCCAATTTAATTGGTCTTTCAAAAAAATAATAACCTCCTAGCATGTAAAAAGTGCTTCACAAATCTGCAGTCGCTCTCTTTGACCTCTGCTAATACTGTGTTGAATGAACAAAATTCTGGAACTTCCTGAAAGAGACAGAGCTTACCCACCCCAAACCATCCTCTCACATGTTTCAAGGGCATATAGTACAGAACAGCCCGTCATTCGTGCATAGCAGAGGGCAATAAAAGCTGCCTTAGGTAACCCCTGGAGGACAACTTAATAGCCCTGAAGTGCTTAGCTGACTTGAGGGTATGAAGCTGAATTATCTTTGCGCTACTATAAGAAGTGTCCGGGAGCACTTCTAGAATGTGCCACAGTTTAGGGGTCTTTTAATGTCGCAAATGCTGGACGCAGTTACTGCACAGTTGAGAAATGATGCCAAATGTTGAAAAACATGTGCAGTAAGTCGCAAACATTAATATGTCATGAGAACACTTAAAAAAAGACACATAACAGAGATAAAACTTTGCGGTTAGTTAGCATGAGCTTTTGGTCTTTGCGTCTAAAAATGATGTGGCAAACACATTCATAAATTCTTACCTCATAAAGTAGCACTGCGACAGAATAAAACCGAACCCTGACCGCTTCTCAAGTTTGCACCTGTTTAAAGTGATAAATCTTTGCCATCTGTGACACTTGGCTGCCCAGGAATACAGACGCACAGGTCTGAAAACCTGACGCATAGACGTTTATGAACGAGAGGCAGTCTGACCTGCAAATTATCATGAAGCTAATTTGATTGATAAATGTCCCTCATTACATTTCACATAAAATGGAGACGTATCAGTTGACTGTATACATTCATTGATGTTACAGCACATTTCCTACACGGTGGTTTTTCAAGGTCTTGTTCAGTCACCTGCATGTTTTAATAGTTCTCTCAGCTGACTTGTTTTGACACAAGTATTGTTTCTATGACAAGGTGCCCTTCAGTAACTGTAGACAAAACACACCTAGATATGAAGATCACCACATCTGATGATCAGGTTGTTCTGGCTGTTTTGCTGCGCTTTGTCTTATTGTGCCAGAGTCAATCACACGTTTCATCATCAAAATACCTGCAGAATGCAGCTCAGTGTCCTGATCTTAGCCTTTCCTTCAAGTCTGAATTTGCAGCATTATAATGAGATAGAAATGACAGCGCAAGCAGTTTGAAACAGGAAAGGAATATTAGTGACAGCTTTAAACCCATTTTATACCTCAGCTACGGGTGAAGCATACAATCCTTCATGGCCTGTATTTAATCTCCCCTTTGCTTGTAATACAATGGCCAAGCAGGGCAGAGCAAACCCAGTCTTCATTTTAAGTCTAAATCTAGAGCGCCCCCCAATGTGGAAACTATTTTTAGCAGCTGACAGATTCATTTGGTGTTTACCTCGCTCATCTGGGTCTGTGAAATTGTTTGTGGCACGAGTTCAATGGAGGCAATCCAGTCTGAGCCTGCTCTATCAAGAACGATGAAGCGATGAGTTGAAAGTCATTTTATGAGACAGGCTTCCAGGCATGCAGAAATACATATGCAGGAAAGGACACGTGAACGCGGAGAGGAAAACAGACATTTGGATGAGCGTATACTCCGGTTACCAGCTAAAGTCACCACCGGATGTTTAACACAGCATGCCAGTTTAACAGATGACTGTTTACATACATATTGATTAGTACATTTTAGGGGAAAGAAAAGCAGTAAATAATTGTCACCCGATCTGGCTATTTAAGGTCAGATTGTAAAACCGTTGTATGTGAATGTGTTTTCCATGATGTCAGCAGATATGCTCTGGCAGGGCAATCGTGAGGAAATGGTTGATCAGCCAAAATGGATTTTTTTGGATAATGACTGTTGTTTTTCTGCGATAAGCCAAGTGCCAGAGGTGCATTCTCACTACATAAACATGCTTGCCACACATGAGTGTATGTCATACAAGTAGTAAGATCTACGTCGATAAGGGAAGGCCATTGCTTTCCATTATAAGACATTTTTATTATACTAGGGATAGTGACATAACATTTTAAATATTACTCAAACAAGCTCTTTCACTTTGAAAAACTTCATACATCCAGTATTAGTGATATGTGTACGTAAACTATAACAGCGTCTCTTATTTGCTCCCTTTTGGTCTGTTAAATATTCGATTGAAAGCGTTTTGTTCCCAGTGGCGTAACAATAGCGGCTGCTATGGGGCCTGGGGGTGGAAGGGGGCCCCAATAAGGATTGCAGAAGTTGCTGCTGACCCTGACATTATTAATCAAGAAGAGCTGACATCAGATATACGGGGGGGCAGCTCTCCTGCTACGTGACTTTAATATCATTGACAGTAGGGATGTTGCTGGGGGACCCCATCAAAATTTTGCTATGGGGCCCCATGATCTGTGGTTACGCCCCTGCCTGTTCCCTTTGTAATGAGAGGGGAAGGTTTTCTGTTGTCTTAACACACTCTTCAGACAGACTAAGCCCAAGGTGAAAATGCTTCTTCTCTACAGATACAGTGCAGGGGCAGTATATGTACAGTACTAGGACACTAGGACATGAAGTGTGTTGCTAGTATTATTACCAGGTGAAAGTAAAGGGAAACAGCATAAAACAAGCAACAAAAACACGAATGCAGCCCTCACATCGAATTACTGGTAAACTGCAGTATATTACATTTTGGGTTTTGGGTTTTAGGGATGTCGGGTTGGGTAGGACATGAGGCAGTGAGCAGATGTTTAAGGGGAACCCATTACATCACCCCCATCTGTGTAAGCTAAGACCCATATTTAGTGCTGTATACTCCCATCATTTTACCTCTCGATTAAAGTCACTTTGAACCTTTTATGGCTATAGCCAACACATTTCTGAGGATAGGCTCTTCCTTCCCCAGGGCTGTCCTGGCACAGTGCTGCTGATGACAAAGTTGTAAATTGTGTAGCAGGCCACTGTGAACTTTGATAACAAAGTAACACATTGTTTTCACAGTTTACAAGACCCAGAAAGGTGTCTTTCTTCAGGTGTGGTTGTTATGGATAATTGAGGAGAGTACAATACATTATGAGTGATGCAAATAAATATGAATAGGTGGAAAGAGAAGAAATAATCAAAAAAAAGTGTCTTATGAATATAAATGAACTTGTAGCTTTGGGGAGAAAAGTTGGAGATTGTTTAACAGGCTATTGCCTGAGCAAATATTTAGTATGAAAAGGGCCTTGTTCTTAGTGATTGACTTGCTATGCTTGGATTGCTCAATTCCTTATTATGAAATCCCTTTTCTAAAAAGCCAACTCTTAGAGCCAGACGTTTACCTGCACTGATTGGTTTTATTCCAAAACATACAACCCTTTTTAATCAGAATTTCTACTTGTACAGTATGCCTCCAGCAGTTTATGTACACACCTGAAATAATTGATAACAATAGTACCTGAGATCTAGTGTGCTCTCTTACCAGGAACCAACAGGAGCTTTCCTTCTATTACTTCATTTGTCATTTTTGATGTTGCAGTGTTCAGGGCAGGCACAGTATGGCTCCCATTGACAGTCTAAACAGCAGGGTGAGTTTAAACCAGGGTTAGGCAACCTCGGCCCTCCAGCTGTGGTGAAACAACTCCCATTTGCCTCTGGGAATCATGCCTGTGTCTGTCAGAGTCTTGCAATGCAAACTATCCTCATTGTCTGAGATTATTTCATTTGAGTATTAGCAGTCTACCCATGTTCAGAGAACTGAAAGTAAATTGTCAGTCTGTAGTATTTCACAGATTTGAAAAGCTCTGCTGTATATAGAAATGTTTTCATTTGGACCAGTGTTTTCTTTGAGGGACACCACATCCAGATCATCTCCAGACCAGATTGTTTCCGGACCCAAAATGCATCCTAATGTATCCCTATGCTATTTCTGGCCTCTGTTTACACCAGCGTACTCCGTTCCAGACCAGATAAATACTGCATGTCTCATTATGTCTGGTCTGGAATGCACTGGAACTGCTTGCAGGTTTGCACCATTTTCCGGACCAGATCTGGGGGGCCCGTTCACACCATGTGCGGACCAGATCCAGACCAGAATGTTTTTTGTCTAGTTCAAAAATGCATGCCCATTCATTCCTATAGTAAAAAGTGAGGTCAATTCACACCACTGCGTTCAGTTTCAGAACGTTTAAAAAAAAGGTACTGCATGCACTATTTTCTCTGGTCTGGAACACACAAAAATGCATGTAAACGCACCAGAACGCACTGGAACAGTTTAGAAAGTCAATTGAGACAAAAAAAGTACCAGAATGCATAAAAAACGCACATAACCGCGTTTGTAGTAACACATCCAGATCTGGTCTGGGCATGGTATGGACAAGCCCTTAATGATCCTTCCACATTCACTTACCTCCTAAGACTTTAGTATAAATTTTCAGACATTAAAACAATGTATTCACTATGTGTGTAGCTCCATCAGATAGGAGCACCTACGTTACTGTATATGTTGTGACCTTACTTGGCAAGTAAAGAGGGTTCACCTAGGGGCACATTGCAAAAGATAACCCTTGCAGCATTGGATATACATATGACTACATAGTGGGAATTCTGCTCTCTTTGTGCAACAATAACTCATTTCCAGATGTCACGATATGCTGATATTGGACATTTGTGTAGTTTGACTTCCCCTTCTCTGTACTAGCCGCTGATTCAGCACAGACATAATCCACAAGCACAAGACATCTGGGTAATGTTGTGGGCTCCCCTAGTTCAGGCTGGATCCAGTTTTTATTTCTCTGATTTAGTCATCCTTTGTGTAACATAGCTTCTATATGTATTCTGAAGTCTGTGCTAACTCATCTCTTTCTTGTATTGTTCTCTTTGCTGTCACATGCTGCCTTGCTTTCTTCATAAAGTGATGCACACGGGTAAGCCTTGGAAGTAGTGCAAACCAGCTACAATATCTGTTATGTCAGATAGTCTGTTTCATATATTGAAAGGACCAATGCATAAAAAAGCTACTTGACACAAATAAGCTACTAACAGAATACCAGTACAAATGTCAATGTAAAAGACGTCCTGTCAGCTGACCTAATAAAAGGCCATGGTGAGGCAGTCAGCCTTACCATCATTTTTAAAAGATCAACCTGCCTAAAAATGATCCTTCAGTTCTTAGTAGATGATGGAGGTTAAACCACAAGACAAGCTTCTTATATTCGTGAGAACTCTACTGGTGATATCTCTACGTTTGAGTTCCTAGGTCTGCACACATATTGTGGCCACAATGAGAGAGTGGCCTCTCTTCCTGTTGGATCTTTTGTTTATTTTAAAAAGGACAAATACAACAGGAAGTTCAGAGTATCTGAACCTAATAATGATTTAAAGTGCAACATACTTTTGCCCACTCTTGCGGCGCAAATGATTCAGAGGAGATTCGTCATTGTTCTGATTTAGCTGATTAGATTCACTTGTAGCACATTTAAAATGATTGCTTACAAGCATAATTATGTTTCCTGTCACTATTTTTTTACATTTATCCTTTCTCTTATATGTGCCCGACTGCATACTGTATAAATGTATATGTTTCCACCCACACAAAATACATATATGCCAATTATGCAAATTGTATTTGTCGTTTTCTGTATTATTCTAAAAAGATGGCATTCCCATCACCAGCCATGTTGCTTAACTGATTAGCTGTTACCTGTTCACTGGTTTGGAGAAACCTATGGTAAATTGCATTGTTTTGTTTTTTCTCTACAGTCAGTTTGTATACATCCATCTTTGGAGTTTTACAGTTGCTCTGCCTGATGACAGCCCCTGTTATTGGATACATCATGGATTGGAAGCTCAAGGAATGTGACGATGGCAATGATGATGATGAGAAGGATGCTAATCAGTACGTGTTTACTCCTCTAAGAGACGTGTAGGCTGCACACACATTAGAATGTGATATACATACTTATAGGAGATCAGAATAAGGGTTATTGTAAAACTGACTGCAGGAGGTGTATGCAAGCAAGCAGATGTACCTGCATACACCACGAGTAATCTTCCAGAACATCTGGTAAGCCCTAGAACCCAAAGCTGGAGCTCTGACCCGTCATCTTCTGCATCTCACTATTGGCCATTGATGCCGCCCATCAAATTGAGTGAATAGCGCATAGGAGACAGTAGCAGGGAGCCCGAACATGTCTTTAGTAAATGAAGTCAGATTGATCTGCAACTCTAGGTATACTTAGATGCCTGAATTTAGGGCTCTTTTTTCACTTGCATTATACGACACAATATTGTCCTGCAGTGGAAGATCCATTTTAATATATGCACACATACTTTTTCCTTACGGTAAGTAGAGATGCACCGATACTGGTATCAGTATCGGTGCTGATACCTAGTATTTGGGTGAGTACTCATACTTACCCAAATGCTCCGATACTTACCCCCGATACCGGAACTTCCAGTCAGAGGGAGATTTCCTCTGACCGGCAGTGCCGTGAGGAAACATGGAGCCGGCGAATCAGGAAACCGAGCCACGGGTAATGACTCCCGGCCCCGCTTACTGATTGGCCGGGAAGCCGACTCCATGCTGTTTGGCCGGCTTGATGCTGATTGGACGGGACGCCGGCTTCTCGGCCAATCAGAATCGAGCCGACCAAACAGCGCAGGTAATGACAAGCTGCCTGGCTTCCTAAATGCCCGGGAAGTCAGCTCCATGCTAGCAGAAGTACCGGTACCAGTACTCGATACCGAAAAACCGGTATCGGTGCATCCCTAACGGTAAGGTGCAGTCACACTTAAAACAGTACATAAAATAGTTATTAATAACAGTTGTATCCGCCAATTTTATTTATGTTCTTGTTTGCTTTCTCACAGAGATGGAAAGAAAAAGAAAAAGCGCGATCGTCAAATTCAAAAGATCACAAATGCCACCAGGGCCTTTGCATTTACCAACTTGCTGCTAGTAGGCTTTGGAGTCACATGTCTTGTTCCAAACCTGCCCTTACAGGTACGTTTAAATGGAAAGTCCCTAGGGAACTTCCTTTGTGGATGGTGGTTACGCTGCCCATTCATCAAAGCAAACTTCAGACACAGCAGTAGAGCATTGTGCTTATGTCTAAATTGTGTTTGTTTCTTTACAGATCCTGTCTTTTATATTGCACACAATAGTGAGAGGATTCATCCATTCTGCTGTGGGTGGACTCTATGCTGCTGTGTAAGTATATTCAGTAAGGCTCCATCTTTATTTTTGTAAGGTTTTGGAAGAATCTGTCATGAAAGAACAAGGAAGGCTGCCTTGTTGACCTGATTTTAGGAATGCCAGTTCCCTGCATGCTGTGCTGAAGCTTTGTATTTGGTTCTGTTTGAGTCTGTGACTTGGAACAATATAGATATAAGGGACTCTGACACTTTTTTGACACTCTAGTGACATCACTAAATCTCACTCCAAACCTCATAAGACTAAAGCTGACCATACATTATGCACATTTTGGCAGGTTCTTCAGGCCCTATTTTTTACGCCCTATTAGAACTTCTATATTGCCACCAAAGTCACTTTTGCTATGGCCTTTTGTCCTTCCCACCCCATTATTTTCTCAAAATCAAACTGGCAGGTATAAATCTCTTATAAGAGTACTTACAAGGTGACTCTAATAGTTTGTGGTGCCAGGCATGATTGAGAAGAAACGTTAAGGGACATTTAGCCCCATCTGCTGTTTTGCCTCTGTAGTTTTAGGCCAGTGTTGTCAGTCTCCTCATTTATAACTGTAGATGTGTTTTACATGTATTTATATGGTAAACAAGACGCCACAAAAAAGAACATAAAATGATTTATATTGCAGTGTAGTATTTAAGATTTTAAAAAAAACTAATAGTAGATATCCACATCCTTCTGACAAGCCTCAAGAGCTGAACATACACATACATATAAAAACTTTAAATAAGTGATTTTGTTTTAAACATTACAAACACAGTGAGGGGAATTTATCACAACTCTAGCAGACAGAATCTTGTGTAGCTTTGCATGGCAACCAATCAGCTTCTCTTTTTCATTTTCAAAAGCTTAACTGAATAGACTGAAGAGAGAAGCTGATTGGTTGCCAGGGGCTCCAGATTCCAACTTTACCGTACACTTAGCCAATCATGTCTTCATGCATTCATATTTTTAAAAGAACAACTATAAAAAGACTTTCGATGTTATTTAGGTATGCAGTCATTTATGTATTTTATACAGAATGCACGAAGTTTAACAACCTTCATTTTCTTTTCCCAGATACCCATCATCACATTTCGGTAGTTTGACGGGCCTGCAGTCTCTCATTAGCGCTCTTTTTGCACTCCTTCAACAACCTCTGTTCTTGGCTATGATGGGACCTTTGAATGGGGATCCACTCTGGGTAAGGACTAGTTTACAGAGAATATAGTGAGAATTCTAAAATATACAGTACGAAAAACACTTTATATTACATTTATGACCAGCTAACTGGGGTAAGATCTAATGGTACATCAGTAAGAAGGTGTCTCTTTGACAATAGACTTTTAGAAGATGATTAGTAAATGACATTTTATTTGGCTGGCTTGCAAGTGAAGGCACCGCCAACTGTTTGTTTTACAATATTAGACAGTTCAGACACCCAATCATGGAGAACACAGTTTTAGCCCACTAGGCTCGTTATCCAGGAGTTCTAGCATTTTAGTAGACATCAAATATTTAAATATAGGCCAACAATTTTTTTATAAAAGGCCAACTATTTTGATACCATAGTAAAAATGAGAGTGCGTAAAGAAAAAAAAACACTGCAATAAAATAATTAGTTTTATTACAGTCTTTTTTTTCTTCTCTGGTGCCCCCTTAAATTCCTCTTCCCTGGCAGCATGCTGAAGATAAGGACTGCTGCCCTCTGATACACCCTCTGCCCACTCACAGCTAGCTCTAGTCAACCGGCTGGGGACTGACCTCCTTTCTCACACAGAGGGCATTGGTCCTTATCTTTACACACAGCGTGGATGGAGGAATCTCCACTGCTGGCTATTGTAAATGGGTGCATTCCCTCTGCAGCTCATAATTTTCCACCTGACTCATTCGATTTTACATTGATTTTTGTCAAGACGGGTGGTGCTCGCTAGGCCGCCCACGGTTCGAATTTCAACCAATTCAACAGTATGTCCAGTTTCTTAACCTGTTGGCCTTTGACCACAATACTTGTATCAATTTGTGTACTTCACTGCTATGTAATATGTCATTGTGATCCTAATAAAATAAACAAAATATACAGTGAGTTGCTTTTGTTGTATTCTAACTTATTGCGTACGCATACTTTATACTTCTCTCTCTTTCTTCAATGACAGGTCAATGTGGGAATGTTGGCAATGAGCCTGCTCGGTTTCTGCCTGCCACTCTACCTCATCTGCTTTAGGCGAAGTCTGGAACGGCAAAGGAAACAAAAAATCGAAGACTCCAAACTGTACCAGAAAATAAATGGCACTCCTGATCATGAAGCTTTTGTGTAAACAAATCCAGAAACTTGGCCTGCCCTGTACCCGTACAATGTTCCTATTTATAGATCTTGGGGAATGTTTCACTCCAGCATAACAAGTCACCATTTTAGAAGATATTTCAACCTTCAGCATGTCATCCGTGCACCGGTTTTCTCTTCAAGTATAAATGGAAGGAGGTGGGATCTCTGTGCCAGAGAAATCTACTCTTTCTTAGTTCGAAGTCTATACTTTACCATATCTTGTGGTGTAAAAGACAAACCTCTGTCCATTTTGTTGACTGGATTGCAAATTCTTCCTCCTGTGCCCTCTAATAAAGGGTCATAGCTATTTAGCAGTAACTCTTGGCGACATGAGATGTGCTGGACTATTTTGCCATAAAGCTGGAGCCTATGACCTATTATGTGGATTCATATTCCTAGGTACTCAGCACAGAAGTAGCAGGAATTTTAATTCTTGTTGTGATTACTTCTGATTAGCACGACCGCTTGTTCTGACAACGTGCCAGTGGCGATGGCAGTTATTGTCATCAAATGTCTCCTCTCGGGAACCGAGAGGTTTTCTTGAAATAATTTAGCCTGAACTGAATCTTGTAACCGCCAAACACAGCACAGGACCACCTTGAGGCCCTATGACCACGGCTTTTCCTAAACACGAAGTTATAGCACAAGGAGAGGTGTCCTGTTCTGTGGTAAAACAAGATGCTAACAGCATTTTGTACATTACCTTGGAGGATGTGTGCTCTTTTAGTGAACTCTTTCTGCACTAATGAACCTTGCTGCTGTCCAGATTTAGTAACAGTAGAGAAAGGCAGATATATCCATTTAAAAGGGATAACTCATCCATCCTATATATTAATATGGGTGATGAGAATCAACCACTCTTGTGATGAATATATGTCGTGCCATACTATCCTTAGATCTGGTTGATTCTTACTTTTATACACCAGGAATTGGTGGTTGGCGATCTGTGGCACTGAGGAGGATGCTGCACTTCATCTCCCATGATGCTCTGCCTCTCGGTCATTGAGCTGTAGTGCAGCGCCCATGACAGTACCAGAGATTCTTAGTCTATGTTCTAAGCAATACCTGTGTTTCTGTTTCCACTTTGTTTTCCTCTTTTCTTTTTTGTTTTATAAATGACTAATATGAATATGCTGTTCTATGTTCCTTGCATGACATGATTAAGTATTTTTGTATTTGGACATATATTGTTTGTGATTTAATTTCTGTTTGGTGGAGCTAGAGAGAATCTTTGTCATATATCTGCTGAATATCTTGGTGACTAATCAAATGAAATTAAGCAGGAATCCAGTGTGTTTCTACCCTATAGCCATTCTTGATCTTCATTTATCATTTTATACTCTCTTCCTTTTCCTAGATTGTGGCTTTATTATCATTTCCTATCTTCATTCAAGTGTTATCATTTCTTATGACATTTTGATCATTTCATTCTTTGTCTTCTGGTTCTCGTTAGGTTCTAGTTATGTTAGTTAGTATTTTTTTTTATACTATTCCAGTTTTTTAGCAAACCGTTCATTAAATAAGAATATACATGTTTAGGGATTTGCCTTTACCTCACTCCATTGTGCCCCAATGTAAGATCGTTCATTTACCTGTCAGGAAATTCTGGTATTCCAGTTTTAATATTACTAAGTACATGAGGTAGACAGGTAAGCGTTACTGTTCGTTGTTAATTGCTCACAAAATCGAATATGATGGTATCCACTCTGTGGATAAAATCAGATGCATCTAAGTCAATCCTCGGATGAACCTAAAACCACAAGCTGCTAAAATGCCCCTTCATCAGTTGAGGAGATCCTGAAGTATTCCAATTGCAGGTTTGCCTCACATTGACTCTGCAATCTCCCTCTAGGACGTAGGTGTATTCTTTCAATGACAAAGCAGAAATTAAACTATTTTTTTGCAAGCTTATTTTCTCCCTAGGATGATTGCAATTATATGCAGTATTTTTACACTCCAGGTTACCACAAATAAGAACGAACCATTTAGACATTCTCCTAGTGTTTTTAATAAGGAAAGAGCAATGCATAAGTGCTGAAACCCATAGTGATCTACACAATAAATTGAACTCTTCTTGCTATGGGTTGTAGTACTCTTCACATCGCCATTGCTCTTTGAGTTGCCTTATTATTGAATAAGCCCAATCTCTGCAAACAGTGGATGCAGAGTGGTCCCGCTGTGAGGAAGTTGAGTATTGACTCTTCCTACAAAACAGCTGCAGTAACAGGACAGGAAGAGCACTGCATCCTCTGTTGGTAGGCACTGGGCACATTTTAATATTGCTCTGTTGGGATGTCAAAATTCTGCTTGTACAACAGTTACAAAATGAGGTTCCTTCCTTTCAGCTTGATAGCATGGTATTACAGGGAAAGGCTAGTATTTGTTCCTGGAGTACAAGCAGAGTTCCCATGTGACAACAAGGGGAAAACAGAGCACAAAAGCAATACAGCAATTCTTTCCCCGTGTGTCTGTCTTTGAGCTGGCCTCCGGGAAGGAAAACTGGGACACTCCACTTTCTGTGGGTTCCCAGAGCCAAAACTGCGCAACCTTGAGCAAATCACTGTATCTCTCAGTGCCTCAGGTGCAAATAAAAGATTGTAAGCTCTGACGAGTAGGTATTTATTGTGCCTGTACATTCTATATACAGTGCTTGTTGTTACTATTAAAAACATATTCAAAAAAATAAACCCTTTTTATAGCCAACCGTTTTGCAGTTTGTGTCATGATGTTGTTGTGTGATTATTACATTGTGGTTACTAACTTCCGAAGGAAAGAAAGCACTCTATACCAATACCAAATCTTTACCCAATATGCAATGCTAGAGACCATCATGGTTTGGAGCTGCTTGCTGCTTTGGGGCATCGACAGTTACCCGTTATAGAGGGAACAATGAATTCCAAATTTAAGCAGTACATATTACATATACATACAAGAACATCATCTTAACTTATTTTAACATGCATGTAAACCTTAAAAATCAGGTTCCTCTGAACAATTGTCAATTGCATGTTAAGCTGCCAAAGGTGTGTTTGTACCTAATTATCAACTATAAATACCTAGTGATCCAGCCATGTATTCTTTTTTCCCTTCATGTTTCTTTTTGTCAACTCTTAACTACAGGTTCAGACCCGTGGTAGCCTTCACAGCCACATGCAGCGGCTCCTGTAATGGGAATAAGAGGCCGCAGTGTAAAAGCACGTATGCCTGCAGTCCCTCAGACAGCCTAGACTGTGAGTGTTTAAAAACTGATAGGGCTGAGTGCTGGATAATTTGTAACATGCACATATCCTACTCCTCAGCTGCCTGCTTTTAAGAGACAATGTGGAATTCTTAACATTTCATTACCTGGCTCATTTAAAGCACATTTCAAAACTAAAACAATCCAAGTTAAATCATCCATACTCATTTAGATTTCCCCTGCCAGTTGTATTCAGACAGCTGTCACCCACAACTGAATACCTTAACAGTGACTGCATCTGACAGGATGCATTAACGGTTCGGCTGACACCGACTCCTTTGATTGTTCAGTAGGCTTTTGTGGAGCTGTGTGGCGTCAAAGGGCTGACATTCAGGCCATGTGTCCAGTCTTGCCTGCTCATTCAGATGGGCGGCATGCTCTACTGTCCCTCTGAAAAACGCCAGAGGGCACTACAAAGGCACGTGCCCAGTGTTTTGAAGGCAACACTGCCTCTTTTCTAAATGCCATTTTGTTTCCCTGTCTTTCGGTCAAGTGTGACAAGCAGCACTATCTACTAAATGTGACATGCTGTTTAAAATTTGCTGCAATGTGGGTTAGCCAGGTCAACGACATAATGCACATGGAGGAGCTATTGGCGACTGACACTAATGCCTTCCCTAAGTTCTTATCCCAATGGACTGTGTGTATACATTTCTCTTCCTCCGCCGACCTCCAGTCCTTCTTCTGAATGTACTAACCTAGAGGGCTATGGGAGGACTGTGCCCACTTTGTACACCCTCAGCTCATGATCTGTATCCCCCGCTCTTCTCTTTTCCATGCTATTCTCTGCTCTCCTCTTTCTGTCTTCCCCCTTTATATACTTTTTATTATATAGGCTGATGTTCAGACTGTTCGTTTGGAGACTATATTAAGCGGTGCTGACATTGGTAGCGCTAGACTCTAACCCGTACCGGGCTGCTCTAACAGATTAGCATAGGCCTGTTTAGACAGAGTAGGGGTTTGCCCCTTATGCCATGACTCCTTCACGCACTATAAGTGCCTTAGCTTTATGTGCTATTTTGTCTAACCTATAGCGCCATGTATAAATGTCTTCGGATGTCAATGCCAGTCCACAGATGTTTTATTCTCATCCTCCTGTCTCCCGATGTCATGTATTTTACAAATTGAGTTTGGATACCAACTGTTTGAATCCTTAAAAATGCTAATAAAAACTGATTCAACACTAAAATTTGCTGCCATGCAAAGCACCACATCTGCAGCATGTGTAGTCACTTAATTGAGTTTTAGGTGGGCAGTCACAGGGGTGGTAAATACATCGATCAACCACCTGATTTTACCGCCTTTTGGCCACCCACGCGAACAGGGCCTAATTGACTTGAAATCTACTGCTCACGCTAAACCTAGAATCATGTTTACTTAATGAATCTTTCATTTAATTAATTTCCTGAGTAAGCCGGATCCAGGAAACTATCACCCATGCATGTATAAACACTGAAGGAAGTCCCTCATACCCATTATTATAGGACATCTTATATGGAGTCAATTGTTCTCCTGCTTACTGTACTAACATTGTCTGATTCTCAGTGCCAAAAAGGATCGTAACCTGGAATGCTCCGAAAACCTAAAACAAACATCATAACACTGCTCCTGCGTAGATGCAGTGCAAAACACAACCTGAAAAAAAGATAGTAAAGTCAAAATGACAATTCATGCTATGGTGGTATCTGTAATGTTTGCTAGATATACTTTCCTGTAGCCTAGCAATTCTCAGAAGAGAATCCTTTCAAGGATATATTGTATGTTCTGTTACCAGAGAAATTTGCTTGGTGGTTGTCTGGGCAATCACGCTTGTGATACCTACTGAAGACAACAAGCAAGAACTGATCAATGCTATAGGGAATTTATTTATGGAACTTACTGAGGCCTGCAGAAGTTATTTTGCAGCCATATGTAATATTAATATCTGCTAACTTCTAGTATTCTGTATTTTGGTGAGTAGATGGTGCTTACATAAATGCACATTGTTTTGGATGCTTGGGTAGAGTCTGGGTACACTAGATAGAGCAATAAGAGCCTGCAATGATGGGCTTTGGTTTGTTTCAAACAGATTATGCATTTCTTTACAAGTCTATGGGATTGCAAAACCCACTTGAAGCAGGATAATTAAAGCTCAGAAGAAGATCGGCTGCAGGTCAAATGCATATGTCAATGAAGTCTGAATGATCTCAGAAACATCTCAAACTGAGGTCAAAATCATGCCATCAACAGAAGCCCAAAGATCATTGATAAAGTCCCTTAAGTTGTTTCACTTTAAATTAAAATCTATAATCAAATATTACTCCTGAGCTTTTCAACAATTCTGCTTAATTATACCAATATTTTGTAAATGAGGCCATAAACATCACCTTTTCCTTAGAAAATGTAACTTCAGGTGCTTCTGAACTCTTCCAAATGGGTTTGGGGAACATACATTCCAGCACAAATGGCCAATCAGCAGCTCATCCTGATTCCTACCATCCTACCCATCAGCAGCGGCCACGTAAATATTGGAATCGGCATAGGGACCCAAAGCGGAACCTGGAGTCTCATTTAGCCAAGAAACGGAAAGCTTTTCATTGAAACATTTACATATATATACTTATATAATGGAGCAGGTGTGGTAAACCTGGACAGATGTCATAGGCCTGCTTTCAATGTTGAGAGTTGTGTTTGCTTTGTGTATCTCAGCTACAGCCCTATCAGTTCTAATTTCAAGTCATTTTTGTGACAGAAGGGGAATGATATCATTTCTGAAAAGTATGATTCTTGATAAGGAACACGGTCAAAGGTTAATGACTAACTGAGCAACAAGGTGTGGGAGCAAAGGTGATACACTGCTATAAAAATCCCATCAACTAATGGTTTACCTTACAATAAACTACTGTATTTCTATGCTATTTCTATAAGTAAAATGAAGAGAAAAAGGGGTGTATTAATAACAATTGTAGAGATTGAAATAAGAACAGAAGTAGAGGTGTTGCCAATAGCAAACAATTAGCAGTTGTCTCAAAAACAATTTTCTCTTGTTGGAAATTACAGGTCTTTAGGATCTATTTAACGCATAAATGTTCATTATATCTGCTTCCTCAAGGGTCAATTCTATGTTTACAGTAATCCGCCACTATGACACCCCCTTATCCCCCCTTTATCAGACAGACAGCTGAACCCCAAATATTACAACAGAAGAGTGGCTCTCCTGCTACTCTGCTGGGCTAGGCTATCAGTTTGACAGCCAGGTCCTGCTATACATACCTGACTGCCTCCTACAAGAATGAAGGGTAAGATTGTAGTCTTCATTCATAAATTAGTGCCAAATTAGTTGGCTTTCATTTGTGCCTCCTGAG